CAGGCCTTTAATAATTAGCTGGTTTCAACTTCTTAGTATGCTTCCAGTCTACTATACTAAATATGAGGCCAAAATTATCATAGAGAAAACAGCTAACTTAGAAACGATTGTGGGTGGGGCTTGCTTTACATTTTGAATAAGTTAACAGTTTGGAGCTATAAATAAAATCTACAGTTGTCATCAGATATGTAATAAACCATACTGCCACCATATATATGTCAATAGAGACTTGATGCTAAACTGCTGCCCACATTTCAGTGGGGCTTCCAGACAGCCAGACTAGGAAGAAAGGCTTTGTGACTAACCTTTGAAAATCAGCCAATAAAAACCAACAGATCATAATGGTCCAATTCTGTTGCGCATGGTGTCTCCATGAGCTGTAGCCAACTTGAAAGTAGTTAACAACCACAACAATGGCAAGTCATAAAATTAAGTAGCTTCTTCTTTTAAGCATCTATTGTGTTTATTTAAAGCAATGTGGTAAATGCTATAAGGCATTGAGAAGAACACATAGACCTATCTTTGAGCAACTGATTTCTGTGCTATAATAAAACTTAAGAGGTAACACAAAATATTTTCACATAGATAGACAATACAGATGGATACAGAGATTTGCATAATACTAAATTACTTTTTCCTAAGCAATCAGATAGGCCATCTGTGATGACATCTCATATCTATAAAGAATAGAACCAGCTTCCACTCATCTTAGAGGGAGGGCTGAGATAGGAAGATTAATGAGTTCTTAGGGTCATTCTACTAGTGACTGCGATTAAAAAAAAAAAAAAAAAACTACTTTGTGGAGGTAAAGTAGATAATAAAATGTATGCATTTTAAGTGTACAGTTTGAGATGCTTAACAAGTGTCAACACTAAGCAATCAAATATTCGACTGCATTGTTGTCAAATGCCATCAAGTCAGTTCCTACTTATAGCAACCTTGTATAGGGTTTCTGAGGAGCAGTTGATGAGTTTGAACTGCCGACCTTGTGATTCAAGCTAACCTTGAGGTCAAGTGCTTATCCTATAATGCCACACCAGCATGCCATTCTACTGCATAGGCATAAAGTAATATTTATTCACATGTGGATGGACAATTGAGTTGTCATTTATTATGAATAAGACAACTATGAACAATTAAGTACAATTCTTTATGTGGATACATGCTTTCATTTTCCCTGCATAAATGCCTCAGTCATATAAGTACATATTCAACATTTATAAAACTGCCAAACTGTTTATCAAAGTAGTTACATTATTTTTACATTCTCACCGGCAACTTTTGAGAGTTCCAATTGCTCTACATGCTTGTTAACTCTGGAATTTCCAGTCTTAATCTTTAGCATTATGGAGAAGAGAAAGTAGAAACCAATGCTTTAAGACTACCAATCACAGAGAAATCTCAATAAACAAGCACTTGCATACCATTCACGAAGCCATTAGGAAGTCCAAGGAGACCACTCCAATTCAATCCCAAAACTGAATAAACCAGCAAGATCATCTCATTCCTTACAGAATTACAGCTAAATAACCCAAGAAAGATCATCTTGTTTCTTACACGCCAAAAACTTTTTTGATATCTCCAGAGGATATATAACCCACTCTGAAAAGAAGTCTTCCACAGACCTCTTTTTTGCAGATAATAAATTCTACCAGATCCGGAGGCGTGAGAGAGGGAGAAATTCACACGAAGAAACATTAGCAAAAGACTTTGGGATACATAAAATACCCATGCTTAGATGCATACTTTGGCAAACTTTTAAAGCCATGCTACTTTCTTCTTTTTAAATAATTTTAATTCTTTATGCTAGAGTGCTTAAAAATTATTTGCAGACATTGTCCAAATGTGGGCAAGTTTTGTCTGCTCCAAAATGAATAGCTGATATTCATCAAACAAACCCCAAGCGTGAAGGACCTGGCAGTTCACACTATTAGCAAGAAGGAGACTGTCATTAAGGGCTCTGCTTTTACTTCACAGCCTCCTATGTGAGTTGAACTGCAAAAAGGTTATCTTTAGACTGGATAGAAGAAAAATAGAAACACAAATGCATATGTCTTTTAACAAAGCTGCTGTTCCCTGTATCTAGAATGCTCTCTGCACCCACAGCACCCTTTCTTCAAAACCCATGAAGCCTTACTTGTATTTCAGTTCCTGGTTCTCCTAACTAGGCCAAATTCTCCTCATATATGCTTTCATATGACTGTACTTTTCCTTTTAAAACTTTTCATAGTTTAAAATATGTTTCTTTTAGTGAACAATTAATTAATGTCTACCAAGTGAGGTAAGTTCATGAGTGAAGTTATCATGCTCAGCACATTAAAAACAAAACAACAAAAAACAGGTGTCAACTAGTTGAGTCCAACTCAGGATGACTCCATGCAACTCACAGTAGAGCTGTGCTCCAGAGGGCTTTTAATGGCTGATATTGCAGAAATACATGGCCAGACATTTACTTCTAAACACCTCTGCTGTTGTTGTTGTTAGGTGCCATCAAGTCGGTACCGATCCATAGCGACCCTATGCACAACAGAACGAAACACTGCCCGATCCTGGGCCGACCTCACTACAGTTGCCATGCTTGAGTCCATCGATGCTGCCACTTGGCCAATCCATCTCATTGGGGGCCTTCCTCTTTTTCTCTGACCCTCCAATGACTGGTCTCTCCTGACAATATGTTCGAAGTATGAGAGACGAAGTTTGGCCATCTACATCTCTAGATAAACTTAAAATGTCAACTTTTTGGTAACAACTGAGAGATTAACAATTTGCTACACTCAGGGAATCCTGCCCAGCACATTGTTGCTCTTATTAAGTGATACTGAGTCGGTTCTGACTCACAGTGACCCTGTATAGGGTTTCTGAGGAATGGCTGGTGGGTTTGAACCATCCTATGCACAACAGAACAAAACACTGCCAGGTCCTGCCCCATACTCACAATTGTTGTTAAGTGCCATTGAGTTGACTCTGACTCATAGCAACCCTGTATAGGGTTTCCAAAGGAGCTCTGGTAGCATAGTGGTTACAAACGGGTAGCTAACCTCAGGGCCAGCAGTTCGAAACTACCAGCTGTTCCACAGGAGAAAGATGAGGCTTTCTGCTCCCGTAAAGATTTACAGCCTCGGAAACCCTGTACAGGGTTGCTAAGAGTCGGAACCGACTCCACAGCACATAACCACCACTACCAACATAGGGTTTCCAACGAGTGACTGGTGGGTTTGGATTGCTAACTGTAAGGTCAGTGTTTATCCTATAACACCATACCAGGTGTCCATAAAAGGGACTTAATAAATATTTAACCAACTAGTTAATTGGTTGATAGATGAGAACACTACTTTATCTGGTATTATGGATTGAACTGTGTCTTCCAAAATAATATGTTGTAGTCTTAATTCCTATACCTTTGAATTTACACCTGCTTGGAAATAGGGGCTTTTAAGATGCTAGCAATTACAGTTATTTTAAGATAGTATCATATCCTGCAGCACCATACCAGGAATCCAAAATATCCTCTAACAATATAAAAATTCGATTACCCTTATCATTATTTGGAGTCCTGGTGTGGCATTGTGGGTTAATGCTCCGGATGACAAAGTTGGTTTGAACCTCAAGGTCACTGGTTCAAGCTCACCAGTTGCTCCTTGGAAATCCTATACAGGGTTCCTATAAGTTGGAACCAACTCAATAGCACTTAACAACAACAACAACAATCCTTATTTAGGATCCCTGGTGGCGTAGTGGTTAAGTGTTCAGCTGCTAAGTGTTCAAACCCACCAGTCACTCCATGGAGAAAGATTTGACAATCTTCTTGTGTAATGATTTACAGTCTTAGAAACTCTATGGGGCAGTTCTACTGTATTCTTAGAGTAGTTGTGAATCAGAATTAACTAGATGGCAGTGGGTGTGGTTTAATCCTTACTTGGGATTAAGAATGAGAAACCAATGTTTCAGTGTTTTTTCACACTCTTTCTTATTTTAAGTTTTCTTATAATCATTGGAAAAGCATTCCACAGACCTATGTTCTTATTACATTTTCAGGACACAGTATTATTATTATCATCACACTACTTTCTGTCTGAAAAAACAAAACAAAAAAAACCCAGCTATCTCTAACCTAAAATTCTGAAAAATTTAAATGATCGGAGCCTTAATCTTAAAATACTAAAATAGATTCAAAAAATAGTTTTATTCTCAAGCCCCAATTCAAAGAATTAAAAAAAAAAAATAGATGAATTAAAATAAGCTTAATTTTTCCATTTCTTTGTGGTAAGAAATATTTTCAGAAGTATTATACAGACCCCAGGTGTTCAGATTAGCATCACCCATAACTCCATGGAAAATTCATCCACATTTTATCTCAGAAAACTTGGTGTAAGTCCACAGTAAATCCCACAGATCTGCTACAATCACAAGCAGAGTGGGAAAACATAATCCAACAAAACTTGAAGCATAATAAAACAGATGCTTCTTCCTGACAAAACTAAGGCTGTCAGGCAAAGCAGCAATGTGTGAGCTGAACCTACTTTCTCACTTGCCATGAAGTGCCAATATTTATCTCGAGACAAGACTACTCCTGGTTATTGGCAACTGTTAAGAAAAAGAAAGTCAATGCTACTCAAGCTGCTTGTAGTAAGAATTATCCAAATACAAGAAGTTCTTCTAAAACTACAATCCCAAAGGATAGACTACTTTCTGTCAATGTTCTAGTGAAGGGAAAATATGAGGAAATAAATAAATAATCCCCCAAGCATGCCTACCTTACCCTTTATAGAAACTCTTAATGAACTGACAAATGTCATCAATACTGAACTTCCTTACCTTTCCTATACCAGCCAACTTCACAAATAAAAGTGCCGCAAGTATATGAGGATCAAAGGACGATAAGAGAGACACAAGAGTGTCAACATCTATGAAACCAGTATATATAACTCTCCTGACACCTTTCAATTAACTGTTTTAAAACAAAAGTTGTTTTAAAAATATTAATATTTGGTTTTCATTACCTGACAGACAGATATAAGTTAAATATTCGCCTTGACCTCCAGTTGCTAGGAAAGGAATCTTTTTCTTTGTCCTCCTCTTGACTTGGACAGCTCCCAGCATCCTTTCATCAAGAGGTGCAAAAATCTCCTTACTGATGGTAGATTTGGCACTCATTGTAGAATAAGTGAGAAGAACAGGGCACAGTAGTCTTCTAAAGAAGAAGAAGAAAAACAGAAAAGTTAGAATTCACAATATTCACAGGGCTCATATGAGAATGAGCTGTAAAAGTTGGTATGCATATGAAGTAACTCAGTTTACAGTTTAACTTCTTGCTTGCTTGAAATGCATTATGGAATTAGTAAAAGCAATGTCTTCTGATTTGCAATAACTGTGGAAAACTATACATGAAAGGGAATAATAGCTTATTCCTGAAAAGTCAAGCCCAATGGGGCACGGGCAGTACCAGATGAGATCAAGAAATTCTGTCAATCTTTATCCCAACTGAGCCTACTTAAAACTGGTAAGCAGTGCACATGCTACTCCTTATTCAAAAAGGGATATGATTTCACACTACCAGCTTAAAATCTTTCCACTGTCCAACAATCCTTAAAGTCAAGAAATTCTTTGTTGTTGGATGTGTCAACCCACTTCCGACCCCATGAGACAGAATAGAAGTGCACCATTGGGTTTTCTAGGCTGTAATATTTATTTATGATGCCTTTGAGTTATGGTGTTGGAGGAGAATATTGAAAGTGCCATCGGCTGCCAAAAGAACCAATAGATATGTTTTGGAAGAAGTGCAGCCAGAGTGCTCCTTAGAGGCCAAGATGACCAAACTTCGTCTCTCATACTTCGGACATATTGTCAGGAGGGAGCAGTCGCTGGAGAAGGATATCATGTTTGATAAGGTGGAGGGTCAGAGGAAAAAGGAAGACTCCCAATGAGATGAATTGGCCAAGAGGCAGCATAGATGGACTCAAGCGTGGCAACAATAGTGAGGTTGGCCCAGGATTGGGCAGCATTTTGTTCTGCTGTGCCTAAGGTCACTATGGATCAGTACTGACTCGATGGCACCTAACAATAACAACAACAACAATATTTATTGGGAGTCCTGGTGTAAGTCTGGACTACAAGGTCAGTTTGAAGTGTAGTTCAAATTCACCAGCTGCTCCTCAGAAATTCTATACAGAGTCATTATGAGTTGGAAATGACTTGATGGCACTTACCAACCACAATAACAACATTTATAGGAGCATATCACTAAGTCCTTCTCCCACAGAACCACTAGGTGAGTTCAAACAGCTAAACTTTCCGTTAGCAGACCAGTGGTTAACCACTGTACCACCAGGGGCCTTAATGCCCCTTCAAAATCTCCTTTAACAGGAATGTAAGTCCATATGCCTTATTTTATTCATAGTAGAAATAATTACATCTTATACATAATAAGTACACATGCAACAACTTCTACATAATAACTATACATGCAACAGAAGGCCATTAATTTAATCACCGTCAGCTGACTTTGATCAGACTCAGTAATTAACCCTTATTTATTAGCCTCTTTCAGAGGTGTCTATTTTCCAGTTCTCTTCTGCATCTAGTTATCCTGATGTGGACCCTTGCTAAATTTTCCACATTTTCCTTCAGTCCAAATGGACACAGAATTCTAAAAAAAAATGTCTGACTAATGCTAAGTATTTTGGAAACGTTATCCAGTATTCCCTCAGGGTATGCTCCTGTGGTTAACTTGGAGTATGTGCCCGATAATTAAGAGAATAAAGCAGTATGTTGGTGACTCACAATGAGTACCCCTCTCCTCCCGCCCCAAACTTACACATACGGTCCCCATGGTATATTTAGTTTTCCAAAACTTATAACTTCCTAATGGTCGTCATTCAGCTTATGTGTCTCTGTTGTGCTCAAGGTCAATACGAATTTCAACGGTGTCATGCAAAAAACTCAACAACAAACTGACTAAACCTCCTCTGTTCCATCATTCTAGTTATATATAGTCCATAGCCTACTCACTACCAATATTTGTTCAGACAATAAAAACCCCGAATGAGAGGAACAGAGAGAGACTATGGGCTGGCTAGTTATGTGGGTTGTGCACAGTATTTAAAGATCCTGCATATAGATCCACAGCACAGTGATAGATGGTAACCATAGCTCAAAGAGTCGGCCAGCCTGGGGTGAAACTGAGCCTATTGGTATAGACATATGATGTGCTCATCTCTGTGTTCAATATGAAAGAAATAGCTGAGATACAATGACTATGTCAGAGGTACCACTTAAATCCTGATGATTTCTGATGGAAGACTATGGAACCGTTTTTCCCCAGTACAAAACTCACAAATGCAAACACCACATAAGTTTACCTATAACTTATCCACATCTGTAAACTCTTGGCAAAAAAGAGACATTTAAAAAAAAAAAAAGAACCTTTCAGTTAAGAACATTTGTCCTAGTTTTAATTGTGTAATACAACAGGTTTTCTCAGTGACACCAAGAAAAAAGGGGGTTCCTTTAAATTTACACACACACATGTAGTTGTTGTTGTTCATTAAGTGGTGATGAGTCAGTTCCAACTCGTGGTAACCCTGTATAGTGTTTCCAGGGAGCAGCTGGTGGATTTGAACTGTCGACTTTGTCATTAGAACCCCAATGCTGATCCTAGAGTGCCACATCAAGAATGAGTGTGTGTGTGTGTGTGTGTGTGTGTGTGTGTACAGAAAGAAAGAGAGAGAGTCTTAATGTGGCGATGTGGGTTAATGCTCTGGACTGCAAAGTCAGTTTGAATCACAAGGTTGGCAGTTCACCATCCACTCCTCAGAAACACATAACAACACAACCAACAACAAAATATACACACACACACATTTGCTGTTAGGTGTTGTCGACTCAGTTCTAATTAACAGTGACCCATGCACAACAAAGCAAAGCACTGCCTAGTCCTGCACCATGCTCACATTCTTGTTAAGTTGAAGACCACTGTTGCTACAACAGTGTCAATCCATCTCCTTAGGGGTCTTCCTCTTTTCTGCTAACCCTCCACTTTACCAAGCATGATGCCCTTCTCCAGAGACTAATCCCTCCTGATAACATATCCAAGGTATGAGAGAAGAAAGAAGTCTTGCTATCCTGGCTTCTAAAGAAAATTCTGGCTGTACATCCAGCACAGATCTGTTTGTTTTTATGGCAGTTCATATTACTTTCAGTATTCTTCACCAAAACCATAAATCAAATGCATCAAGTCTTCTACAGTCTTCCTTGGTCATTGTCTAACTTGCACATGCATATTCTTCAACAGCATCATATGCATGTGAAAGTTTGATTGCTCTTCCATGAGTTTTGATAATGAAACCAAGCAAAATGAAGTCTTTGACAACTTGATTTGTTTCTCCATTTATTAGGATGTTATTTATTGGTCAATTTGAGGATTTTTGAAATGGTTGAACATTGACCATTTCTTTTTGGTACAGTGACTCTTGACTTGAAATATTGAGAGATTCTATGGGCAAAATATTGAATGATGCAGAAAGCAAAATAAGATGGAAGGAATACACAGTCACTTTACTAAAAAGAAATGGTCTATAGTTAACCATTTCAAGAGGCAGCATATGATCAAGAGCCAGAATGCTAAAGGAAGAAGTCCAAGGTGAACTAAAGGCATTGACAAAGAATAAGGCTCCAAGAATTGAAGGGATAGAAATTGAACTCTTTCAACAAACTGATGCGGTACTCATGCCAAGAAAATTGGAAGACAGCTTCCTGGCCAACTGATTGGAAAAGATCCATATCTGTGGCCATTCTAAAATGAGGTGACCCATGAAATGCAGAAATTATTAGAAAACATAATTAATATGGCATGCAAGTAAAATTTTGTTTAAGATAATTGAAACAAACAAACAAACAAACAATTGTAACAGTACATTGCCAGGGAACTGCTAGAGATTCAAGTCGGATTCAGACAAGGATGTGGAATGAGGAATATCATTGCTAATTTCAGATGGATCTTGGCTGAAAGCAAAGAATACCAGAAAGATGGCTACCTGGGCTTTACTGACTATGCAAAGCTTTCAATTGTGTGGATCATGACAAGCGATGGACAACATTGTGGCAAATGAGTATTATGGAAATTTTAATTGTGCTCATGAGGAACCTGTACACAGACCAAGAGGCAATTGTTCAAACAGAACAAGGGAATACCAAATGGTTTAAAATTAGGAAAGGTGTGCACCAGGGTTGTATTTTTTCACCACACTTATTCAACCTGTATGATGAGCAAAGAATCCAAGAAGCAGGATTATATGAAGAGGAGCATGTCATCAGGATTGGAGGAAGACTCAATAACAACCTATGATATGCAACTAATACAACCATGCTTACCAAAAGCTAAGAACACTTAAAATACTGTTGAAGATAAAAGATCACAGTTCTTCAGTTAAAAAAAAAACAACAACACACACACACACAAAAACAAAACAAAACAAAACAAAAAAAAACCTCACCACTGGACCAATCAATAACATCAAGTTAAATGGAGAAAAGAATGAGTTTTCAAAAACTTCATTTTGCTGGGATCAAACATCAACACTCATGGAAGCAGCAGTCAATCAGCTGTGCAAGACCTCTTTAAAGATTTCAGGAGTTAAGGGTGTCAGTTTGAAGTCTAAGGTGCACCTGACCCAGACCATGGTATTTTCAATAACCTCATATGCATGTGAAAGTTAGACAGTGACTAAAGAAGACTATAGAAGAATTGATGTATCAAATTATGATATTGGAGGAGAATATTAAAAGTATCATGGACTGCCAAAAGAACAAATAAATCTGTGTTGGAAGAAGTACAGTCAGAATGCTCCTTAAAAGCCAGGATGGCCAGACTTTGTCTCTCATACTTCAGACATATTATCAGAAGAGACCAGTCCCTGGAAAAGAATATCATGTTTGGTAAAGTAGAGGATCAGCGAAAAAGAGGAAGACACATAATGGGATAGACTGCCACAATGGCAGAGGGAATAGGTTCAAGTTTAGCAACAATTGTGAGGTTGTTGCAGAACCAGGCAGTGTTTTGTTATGCTGTGTTTAGGGTCACGATGAGTCAGTACTGGCTTGATGTCACCTAACAAGACCAACAAAAACAGTGACTCTGTGTATTCCTTTCATCTTTTTTGATGTTTTCT